CATTAAACAAAGGATGTGGGATTTGGGACTGGGTTATTGTCATTGGCATTCAAGAAAGACATTTTTCGATATATTTTGTTGATTATTTCAATAACAAGCCCTTAATTTTCCCAACCAATCGATATTTGTATATAAAAATCGTAATTATTCAACAAATTGAAAAACAAATAGGTCAAGACACATCTGCAGAAATGAGTGCGGAATAATTTCCTGTCTTTGCCCATAAACCACTCCCCGTTCACCTCTCGAATCGCCAACTCATTGCATATCAATGGGAATGAGTTTTTGCCGAAAGTTCTTTTGACCCGGTGACGGCGGGTAAGGTCGAACTTTGGGCTTTGTTGTTGCCATGTGGGATGATGTTTTTGGCGACGCTTTGTCGGTCGCCTGAAAAATCGCACACAGCAGACACTCATGCAAAACTCCCAGGCCCAGCATGCCAGGCCCAGGGTCCTTTCATCTGTATCCTGGCTGGCTACTGTCAGGGGCCACCTCTGGGTCCACGAAGATGACGTGTCAAATGCATGAACAAATAGTCTTCCAAATTTTCTTCCATTATGCTTTTATTTGATGGATTTGCACAATCATTTTAAAAAACTTTCTTTTACCACAAAGGATTTCTCCTAATCCTATCTTTCAAACAGTTTATTTGATTAATTTATATGAAATATTTTTAAAACGATATTCTTGACCTCAAAACTAAAACAATTTCTTTAAAATATCTGAATAAATTCGTACAAAAATTCTTATGCATTCAGCTACCTTGTTTTCCTTATTCGTGCTTATTTTTCAATGGATGCCATTGCCGTGGCACAGACCGAAAAAAACATGACAACAAACAAGTGTCATGCGAAAAATTGCACAGATTTTCATTTAACATAATTCCAACAACAAAAAAATACATCGACAAACCTGAATGGCCAAAACAGAAAAAACGGAATAAGGGGAGACTGCTGGGCTAGAAAAGAGCGCCATTGTCGCGGCTCCAATTCAATACTATAATAATAAAATTTGTATGCAAAATAGGCGTTGAGTGTTGAATGCATACAAAGATTGCAGGCCGGCTGCTGATGATACAGCTGGGTGGTCCTGGCTGGGATGAAAGGCCATGGGGGCTAAGGGTGATGCGGGCAGTGGCTCGATTTACATATACAAATATGCCGGGACTGGCATTGTTGTCGGCGCTTTTTGCGGGGAGTGCTGAAAAATCGTAATCAAAAATTGCGCAATAATTTGCATGTTTATTTAATAGCCCCAGCGCATAGACCTCCCCAATGACCTCGCCCCTGCCACAGCCCTTTGGAAAACACCACAAAGTGTCATTTGCTCTTGTGACACACACACAGTGGGTGTGGGTGTGGCGATAGAGGCGATGCGTTGCAATGGTTGCATGTGCAAGGGCCGGGCATTGCAGTGACAAACATTTTGGTGAACGCAGGAAACTGCAAAACTCTGTTTTTGGTTACCAATTTTTTTTGTTTGGGTTGCTCAAAGACTTTTTTTTTTACAAATACGGTTACCCAGCTGGGGCTTACGCCCCCTTTTCGCTGCCATTTAGTGTCTCATTATGAGAGAATGTTTATTTTTTTTTTAAAGCTGGTCTAATGAAATTGTCTGCGGGCTGAGCTTTGGTGGCACTCTTGGCGTTTTGTTTTTGCCATTGCGGCACAAACTGAAAGAGGAGTTTGCCGCAAAATTTTATGCCACTCTCATAACGAAGCCAAAAACACAAAAACCAAAATTAGTAGAAGAAATTTTTAAGCAAGAGGGTGCTTTGTTTTTGGGAAATTATATCAATATCTAAAATAGCTTCAACGCTAACTTTAAAGACTCAATAGGACTTAAACTTCATGAGTAAATAAATATATAGAGTCCAAGCCATATAGGACTTCTCACACAACCAAACATAACTCACATAAGGAAAGGCAAACATGGCACAATATTTTGACTGTTACGTAATTTATTTGACATATTTATGGGGTTCATAAATACAGATACATATAAAAATGCGTTTATTTCTATTTGGCGATTTTTTAGTTTTTATGGCAAGCAATGAAAATACAAACAATAAAAGCAACAAAGTCAGCATCGAAAATGTGTTTATACGTGCAGGTTTTGGAATTCTTCCAAAAGCAGGGAGCTAGCTGGTTACACCCCAAAAATTCCAACCATTGTAGTTGTAGTTGCTGCATCGCTCATACGCCGCTTGGTCAAAGTTGCAATAGCAAAACATAAAACATTTTTTATGTAATGATTTCTCTGCCTCCCTTCCTACTGGTCTGTGCTATATTTTTCCAGTTTCGTTGGTCCTTTAGGTGGGGTCAGCTGCCTGAACTATTGACAGCTGATGATAAAAAATTGTTTGAAAAATAAACCAAGAGCGCTGGCTAACAAGGAGAATAGCTAGATATTGGGCCAGAAGTGAAATAGTACAAAGTACATTGGGTTGCTACACTACCCATAAATATTTTGAGTATAGTTACACCAAATGTTTCGTAATTATTCTCATTGAACTAATAATACATGGCACCGCCAATCCATTCCATTTGATTACACTTCAACGTATCCATCCGCGAATTAATCATTTTTCGCCTTTACACTTTTAATTTATGCATTTACCTTTTTTGGTTTGTTTGCCTTTCTTTATGTTGGCCAACAACATTGGCCCCCGCCACATTACTCCCCCTTCAGGAGTCTGTGTGCCTGCCTACCACCTGCGGCATTTTCGCTCGCCGATGCCTGGGCTCTTATTGAAATTCCAAAGTTGAAATGACTGCAAAGAGAGTGAAAAGACACGGCCGGGATTCGGGAGGCTTTGGCTGATGGTCGAGGACCTGGCTACAGTGTTGACAGCCATGTCAGTTGCCATTCCCATTCCCATTCCCATTGCCGTTTGGATTCCCATCCTCGTCATCGCCGTCATTTGGTTTTTGTTGCCCTTGTCTCGGCGGTTTCTCCTTTTTCTGCGGTCGCGTCTTGGTCTGGAGTCTGCTTTGAGTCTGCCCAGATATACACAATATATGTATGCAGAATAATATATTTTGTGGGCTAAACGCTAAAGTATGAGAAGCACTTACAAGGCAACCTTTACAAGGCATTTTGGCCTAAAATTGGTTTGGTTTGTTTGTGTTGTCTGGCCTTTTGTTTTGCTTCTTAACTTTTGATCAGCTTTTAATAAAACAAAATGTGCCAAAATTAAATGCACTCTGTCTGTAAAGTTTTATTTCAAATTTGGCCCCCAATGTTGTGTTTAAGAAAATAACAGAATCAATAGAAACATCCAGCAAGTAGGGCACTCTTTTACTTTAATTAGGGGACTCCCATAACTTTATTTTATTAAAAACTTGTTTTAAAATATACACTTTTCAAGGGCCGTTTGAAATTTTAAGAAGATGGAGGTGGGAGTTTACAATATGTATGATAATCCTTGTCATACATACTGTAATATCCTCTGAGTCTGAACTACCGAAGACCCTACTCTGTCCCAGTTGAGGTCTGTGCAGCTAAATGGTGCACCATTAAAAGTGGACATTTGTAAACATAAACTGACAGATAAACACCCAAAGCAGACGGGGAACTTTACCTTTACCTTGCCACAGTCCAGGGGGCGAAAAGTGAATGATACGAAGAGTTGCCCTTGCAATTTTCATTGGTTTATACACACACATATATATATATATATATATATATATATACGCACACGCGGTGGCACAACCAAGGAAACCGAGAACACCATCCTCACCTACACACCCACCTATAGAAAGCCGTTAAAATACTTAACAAACGTAGATTGTAAAAGTTTTTTATAACAAAATAAAATGCCAGGGAAAGTTGTTGTTCTTGCTGCGGTTGTTCGGGAGCTAAAACGTGGAGTGGGGCCGAGGAGATCGGAATTGGTTGGTCAGTGCTAAACAACAATGTGCAGCTGAAGGACAATATTATACGCCCTTCAGCCCTCGCGCTGCGATAAATGCAGCCACATCAAGTGGGGCCAGGGGGCGGAGAAGCTAAACAAAATACTCGCTCGTTATATGGGTCAATATGCGAAACAAAAGCATTGGGTAGCAGTGGAATCAGAAAAAAACAAGCTAAAGGCAACCAAACAAAACAAAACTGAGAAGCCCAAGCTTTGGAAATAGTTTCAAAACAAAAATAAAGGATATGTCAAATCCGAAGTAATAAATACCCTTTTAATGACCTTTAAGATAAGAAAGGATGGGATCTAAGATCGATGAACTATGATAAAAAACAAAATATAATATTTATTTAAATCAGACTCCAAAGAGTTAAAGTTCTAAAAGATATAGATAGTTTTTTGAAGTAGAACTAATATCTTTTTAGTAGATAATGTTTTGTTAAAATAATACAATTTTTTGTAGACTATTTTTAAAACTATATAGATCACCACGGTCAAACCTCACAGCAGAGTAGACAAATGATTGAAAAACAAGACAGAATGGAAACAAAACTAGAGAGAAATTGGCGGCTAGTTCGGATAGTACTTTGTTTGCCATTTTTTCTGTTGTCATACGAAACATCGGACTGCGGGCATGGGTCAGAGGTTAGATGTTCTCTCGATTATCAAAAGGCAGGTTCCCATGGTATGCAGTTAGCCTCCACCGGGCGTTAGCGTTGTGTTTTTCATCGAAGTGAAAGGTGTTGGGGGAAAGGTCTGATTGCAACTCTCCTTTCCTGGTTTTGCGCTACCCTGTAGTTGAGGTCAAAGTTGTCACTGGCATGGGGGGATTGAAAATGGCTTACTGAACAAGCTGAAACAAGAGAAAATAAGTTCACATGTAGCTTAGAAAAAACCAATAAAACTAAAGCTGTTTGTCAATTTATGAAAGTCAGAAGGTACATCCATTCGAACTTTAAATATTCTAGTTTAAACTTCAATCTCAGAATTTTTCTACTATTTTCCCGATTTTATTATACAATAACCTTAACGTTTCCATGATATTTTCATCTTACACTCACAACGAATCTCATTTTATTTGCAGATTTTATTGTGGCACTTAAGGATGTTTCGGTAATGATTCCCCAGGCGGTGAAACGTGGCAGCAACGCTCTGTTCACGTGTAATTACGATATGGAGAATGATACTCTATATTCGGTGAAATGGTATAAGGGCAAGCGTGAATTTTATCGCTACACGCCCAAGGAGAATCCTGCAATGAAGGTCTTCGCCATGACGAGTGGTCTCAACGTTGAGGTGAGTGCAAAGCAGATATTGCCAGAGATGTCTGCCTATATTCTCTTACATATATGTATGTATATGTATGTACATCGTGCATATATCCATTACGGGCACATGTTACTACAGTTGCGTGTAAATTATATCCATAATGGCTGATTGCCAGCACCCTTTAAGCCTGTTTCCCGGTGGACTTGGCTTTCATAACGACATTTGCCAGCTTATTTGTCCCACCGTTCGTTATAATTATGCCAGTACATCCGTAGAACCGTTAAGAGTTGCTGGGCGTGGCCAATTAGTCGCGCTTGCGATTGACTTGCGGCTCATTAAAAAACAATATATACAGATTGCATAAAGCCTCACAGGAGTAAGAGCTCAGACTGCCAAGCAACGAAGCTTTAAATACTCTGCAAGAGTGGGATAGTTGTCATAAGTAGTTTGTTTTTTTATTTAATAAAGTAAAAAATTTCCCAGAAGGAATTCAAATTTAAGAGCTTTAAAATAAATCATACAACATGTCACTTGACCCCTTTCAAGGGTATTAAGGTTAACGTTTAATTATTACATGGGAATACACAGTGGCCAAAATGGTATTGGAAACAACTAATTGGGTTAAACAATCAAACGAAGTTCAGTTAATGATCCTTTAGCAACCTCCGACCTCTCCGGCCGGGGCCAATCCATTGAGTAACCCCGAATAAACGAAACATATACGTATGTATATATATTTCAGCATTTTAAACACGATATTAAATAAAAATTAAATTTGATTTTTTTAAATGAATTTCTGTATGAGGTTTTCTCATTTTCTGTCGGAAAAATTAAGTGTCGCAAGGGCTTTAATCAAAATAAAATGTTGAAAAGTTAAATAGATCCCCGAAAGCAACTAAATACCAGTAAACTGCGAGTCTGTAAAAAATCTGAATTTAAAAAGGTTTGAGGGCAAATGTTCAACACGATGGTGACAAGATCGGAGATATTAAAAATGTTGTATTCTCATGAAAGTTGTGAATGGCAACTGCCTTTAAATTCTTCTCATTAAATAATGAAAAATTAGTAGATTTATGGAAAATATTAAGTCCATTTTAATTAAGGCTTGTATGTATTGGCTAGAGGGGTTTGCCAACCGAAAAGGATTAGGCTTTTTCCCGCCAAACAGCTGAGAGGCTTAAGAGCCATCCTGAGGGCCCACTCGCTTTGTGTCAAAGAAAATCTTAATCAAAGCCCGTTGACCCCTTCAACCTTAAATTCACTCTTCACCTTTATACCCTCAATTTGCAGTCACTTTTCATCCAAGTTTCCTATCTTTCACCTCCAGCAGCTGTGCTTTTCGTTATTCATAACTGGGAAAACATATTCCTATTTTCCTATTTTTTCCCCCCCTTTGTGCTGCTCTCGTTTCGCTGTTTTTCACTTTTCATCTTGGCGTTGGGTTATATTGAATTTCTATGCAGCGCGTCCAGCCAATTTTGGCTCACCTAATTTTTATTACGCTCTTCATTTCCTTTCACGCTTTCTTTGCCCGCCTCACTCACTTTCCCTATGGCTTTCTCTTTGCAGCGAAACCTTTCGAATCAGAGCCACGTCGTGCTGCAGTCGGTTCCGTTGAATATTTCGGGTAAATTTACATGCGAAATTTCCGTGGAGGCTCCCACATTCCAAACAGCCATGGTGTCCGGCGAAATGGAGGTAGTTGGTAAGTAACATAAATAAATATATACATTAGTTCAAGGGAAAGGGTTATAATAAATATATTTTATAAATAATATCATCTTCACTTCGTATATATTTTAAAATATATTTTTTTGCTAGAAATTTAATCTAAATAATTCTGAAAACTTGCGTTCAATCCACTGTGCTTCTGGCCAAGAAACAAGAAGTCAAAATATGTACGAGATTGAAAAATGCAAAGGCTAGAAAAAAAGAAAAGACTGCGGTCGCGGCGAACAAATTAATTAGAACAAATGTGTTTGAGCCCGTGGCTGCGCTTTCAGCCCTCTTTTTGGCCCTCTTTCTGGCCAATTTTACATTTCCATTCCTCGACTCACACAATTACCCCTCTCACTCTTACTCACGCTCTCTGTCTCTTTCTCTCTCTTGGCCATCTTTTTGCAGAGCTACCGGAAGAGCACGCTGTGGTTACCGGGATACAGGCACGTTATCGCATTGGCGATTTGGTCGACGGCAATTGCTCAATTAAATACTCCAAACCGGCTGCTAATTTGACATGGACTATTAATGGTATTGTGGTAAGTTTTGGTTTCGTCTGCCAATGTTATACCCCCGCGCATGCCACGCCTAATTCGCCTTTCAATTAGCGGGCAGTCGGCAAAGGTGGGGGCCTCCCGAGGTCTGAGAACTCCGATCGCTTTCAATTGATGGCAGCCAGTTTTTCAATTAGTCATTGGTTGGGAGCTGATTCCAAGTTTGGTGAGTCGGCACTTTGGGGTTTCCTGCATTTTGACTGATCAAGGATGGGTTTGTTGCATTGTTGAAAAGAAACTTATTTATTTGATATATTTATCTTGGAAATTGTTCAAAGCTTACGGCTTAATTAATAAGCTTAAATAACCGTTTAAAGGTAATACTTATAGCTTTAGCACATTCGGATTACATCGTGTTCTTAGCTTGGTCAACAAGGTTTTCTAGCTGCATTTTTTTTTTCAGGAAAATATCCATAACTCGGAAAATAATTATCCTATCGGTGAATGATATACCTTCCCGGTCTTAGATCTCCTAGTAGAATAATTCTGCATCAAAACCTGGCCAACTAAAATCTTACCCGATTTTCGCAATTTTTCATAGGGGTAACATCATGATTTTGGCCAAAAAAACGACCAAAAATTTTATTTCTCGATTTTAGTGATTTTTTGATGCAGATTTAAGCCAATGAGTTTCCTGATTAGTAAATGATAACCCTTTTCCAAATCCGATAAAAAATAACTAAAATATGGGCTAGGAAGTGGATCAAAAGAAACGATTTTGGCCATCTTGTTCTTAGCTTGGTCAACAAGGTTTTCAGGATGGATTTATTTCAGGAAAATATCCATAACTCGGAAAATAATTATCCTATCGATGAATGATATACCTTCCCGGTCTTAGATCATCTAGAAGAATAATTCTGCATCAAAACCTGGCCAACTAAAATCTTACCCCATTTTCGCAATTTTTCATAGGGGTAACATCATGATTTTGGCCAAAAACGACCAAAAATTTTATTTCTCGCTTGGGGTGATGTTTTGATGCAGATTTAAGCCAATGCGTTTCCTGATTAGTGAATGGTAATCCTTTTCCAAATCCGATAAAAAATAATTAAAATATGGGCTAGGAAGTGGATCAAAAGAAACGATTTTGGCCATCTTGTTCTTAGCTTGGTCAGCAAGGTTTTCAGGATGGATTTTTTTCAGGAAAATATCCATAACTCGGAAAATAATTACCCTATCGATGAATGATATACCTTCCCGGTCTTAGATCTCCTAGTAGAATAATTCTGCATCAAAACATGGCCAACTAAAATCTTACCCCATTTTTGCAATTTTTCATAGGGGTAACATCATGATTTTGGCCAAAAAACGACCAAAAATTTTATTTCTCGATTGGGGTGATGTTTTGATGCAGATTTAAGCCAATGAGTTTCCTGATTAGTGAATGGTAATCCTTTTCCAAATCCGATAAAAAATACCTAGAATATGGGCTAGGAAGTGGCTCAAAAGAAACCAATTTGGCCATCCTGTTCTTAGCTTGGTCAACAGGGTTTTCTGACGGGATTTTTTTCAGGAAAATATCCATAACTCGGAAAATAATTATCCTATCGATGAATGATATACCTTCCCGGTCTTAGATCTTCTAGAAGAATAATTCTGCATCAAAACCTGGCCAACTAAAATCTTACCCCATTTTCGCAATTTTTCATAGGGGTAACATCATGATTTTGGCCAAAAACGACCAAAAATTTTATTTCTCGATTGGGGTGATGTTTTGATGCAGATTTAAGCCAATGCGTTTCCTGATTAGTGAATGGTAATCCTTTTCCAAATCCGATAAAAAATAATTAAAATATGGGCTAGGAAGTGGCTCAAAAGAAACCAATTTGGCCATCCTGTTCTTAGCTTGGTCAACAGGGTTTTCTGGCGGGATTTTTTTCAGGAAAATATCCATAACTCGGAAAATAATTATCCTATCGATAAATGATATACCTTCCCGGTCTTAGATCTCCTAGTAGAATAATTCTGCATCAAAACCTGGCCAACTAAAATCTTACCCGATTTTCGCAATTTTTCATAGGGGTAACATCATGATTTTGGCCAAAAAAACGACCAAAAATTTTATTTCTCGATTTTAGTGATGTTTTGATGCAGATTTAAGCCAATGAGTTTCCTGATTAGTAAATGATAACCCTCTTCCAAATCCGATAAAAAATAACTAAAATATGGGCTAGGAAGTGGATCAAAAGAAACGATTTTGGCCATCTTGTTCTTAGCTTGGTCAACAAGGTTTTCAGGATGGATTTATTTCAGGAAAATATCCATAACTCGGAAAATAATTATCCTATCGATGAATGATATACCTTCCCGGTCTTAGATCTCCTAGTAGAATAATTCTGCATCAAAACCTGGCCAACTAAAATCTTACCCGATTTTCGCAATTTTTCATAGGGGTAACATCATGATTTTGGCCAAAAAACGACCAAAAATTTTATTTCTCGATTGGGGTGATGTTTTGATGCAGATTTAAGCCAATGAGTTTCCTGATTAGTGAATGGTAATCCTTTTCCAAATCCGATAAAAAATAACTAGAATATGGGCTAGGAAGTGTCTCAAAAGAAACGATTTTGGCCATCTTGTTCTTAGCTTGGTCAACAAGGTGTTCAGGATGGATTTTTTATAGGAAAATATTATGGATATTTTCAGAAAAAACTCAGAAAATAATTATTATAATTATCCTATCGATGAATGATATACCTTTTCGATATTAGATTTTCTAGTCGCGGATGTACGATTGAAATACTGGCTTAGAACTGTCTAAAATAACATATCCTGCCAAAAAGAATGTATTGAATTAAAAGAGCGTTTGTTTAAAAAGACCTCTTATATAATGACTCAAACCATTTTTACTTGTTCATTAAAGGGTAAACTCTTTAATTACGCCCCAGTTCATGATCAATACTCCATGGCAGAAAAAAATAAAAATAAAACTAGCTGAAACGTGAGTATTGGGTTTGCAATTTTTTATGCTGGTGTGTGCGATTTTTCATTTCTCGTCTGTTGCATACTTTTTGGCACCTGTGCGTGCGCCATTTCCATTCTCCGGCGCCACATCTTTGGCATTTATATTTGCCTAGACTCACTCCACTTTGCACTTTTTCTTCGGATGTATACATTTTTTGAAATGCCGTCAGTTTTTATGCCTTTCGCTTTTGCTGGGCTGGATGTTTTATGGCCGCAACCACAGCAGTCGACTCCAACAGGAGGTCACACTGCCTCCTGCCAGTTTGCGCCCAGCTGCTGTCAAGTCTCTCCGCATGATTGCACAGGTGTCAGAGGGAGGCAGGATGCGGACTGAATGGGAGCAGGGGCAAGGTAGGCGGTCCTGTGTTGAAACGGCGGACATGTCCTGGCATTTTCTGTTCGGATTTTCAAGAAACGTTTAGGTTGTCAGCTAGTTTTTCTTCTTGGTTCCGTTTTTATGGAGCTGCGAAAACATTACCCGCCTCCCAGACATTCGCTGGTGGTATTGTTATTGTTACTCCAGACTTCGGGGTTAGCTCCTGGCAGCTGGAGTATAGTAAATGTGTTGTCAATGTCAGTGGCCCCCCTCAAGTCATAATTCAAATTTGCGGCCTTTGTGTGGCTTGTTGGAGGGCCGAAGTGGGAAGGGTTAAGTCAATGGATAGTCCTGCGGAACATGAAGTAAGCTTTGTAGGTCAGTAGGTGTAGGATTAAAGGTTATTCTTTTAAAATGATAACAATGGAGTTTCAAGATGGAAAGTAACCTGGACAAAGCTTTGCAGTAAGGCTACTTAAAGCTTATAAATTTTCTTTAATTTACTAACTTTAAAAGGAAGTTGTATTTCTTAGAATTTCTCATTGAAATATACCCTCCATTACAATATATTCTTCGGTTTACTTTATGGTTTGCCAATAAAAGTGATACATTTTATTAAATTGGAAAATCTATCAAAATATCAAATTTGTAAAGAGTAGATGCAAATTTAACAGAAAGGAGAAATAGATAAAATTTCATTTTAAAACGAAAATCTGGCAAGTATTGCCCAGTTCTAGAGTTAATCGCCCTCCGACGGAGCAATTCAGCAAAAATATATATTTATTTATATTTTTATAAACATATAAAAATAAAGCATGGAAACTAACACAACAGCACTTGAGTGTTGCCTACACCATGCGGTGGGTGCGGCCACTTGATCTTTTAGCTAACGAGCGCATTTCAACAGGAGCACCACTCACCCACCGACCCGATGCCGTCATGTGTGCTGTCAGTTGTGGGTGTTTGGATGGTTGGATGGGTGGGTCAGGCCAACGGTATCTGGCACTTCAAACTAAACTCACCGCAAACAAAGTGGCCTCGTCTTCCCAGCACAACTCACCCATGTCCTTTGGCTCCTTCCCCCTTCAACGTTTCCATTCCGAGCATCACCATCACCAATGCCATCACCATCACCATCACCATCACCATCATCATCATCGTCATCATCTCATCCTCATCCTCGTCGTTGTCGCTCTGGTCTCTCTGCTCTAGTTAATCACTCAAGCGTAAATCTATTCATCATTCATAAGTTATAAATTTGCCTGGGCCGCTCTGGTGTGGTCTCTTTTATTTTTCGGTGGAGAAGTGTCAGCTTTTGGGATAGTTTCGCTTTCATGGGGCGCCCCACTTCATCGAACGGATTGCTGCAACTGTGTTACATGTTCTATTGATGAATATTTTCAAATTGATTTCGTTGCAAATTCGAGCACCCACTTGACACTATTCGTCTTCTTATCTTCTACTTCTCCGTGTGGTTCTAGGTACCACCGCACCACATAAAGACGTATCAGACCGAAAGGCGGGAGAACAGCACCCTGGAATCTGTCACAAGTGCCATACATTTCATGGTCACCAATCAACATTTTCTCAAGGGTCAGATGAGGGTAAGTGCCACCCATCCACACACACGGATACACGGATACAATCTGTCCCTGCTGAGGTCCTAATAAAGTTTCCTTCTCTCTGGGCTGCCCCTTTGTTAGCTCAAGTGCACGGCCAATATCTTTGACATCTTTAAGGAGGAAATGGAGAGCGTCATCGAGGAGGACCGACCCAGGATAATGGCTTCGGGCAGATCGTATGACATCAACAATTACCCACTCGATGAGAACACGAATGGCGATAGGGGCTTCGAGGATCACAATGAATCATATTTGACCTACTATTCAGGTAAGCTGAAGGGGAATTGTAAAGGGGGAAGCTTAGAACTACCTCTAATCTTAAGAAGGTTAGGACTTATATTTTAAAGAAGCCCACACACTCTTTTTAAAGTTTAATCCAAATCATGTCTGCTTATCCTTAAGAATAAAGTGATCCCTTACCGCAAGTAAAATCGCTCAACAAATACCAGACATGGACTGGAACTGCGTTGGCTTAGCTCAGCCCACTGCATCCTGCTGGAGACGGGCACACAAAGTAAATTATGTAAATAAAATTGTGCAGCATAAACATTCTTCCAGGCTGCTAACAACCAGAAGGCTTATCGGATCAAATGGCGGGGAATCAAATTGGCATAAACTTAGTTTAGACATGAAAGATTGTCGTGGAATTGCGCCAGACGGTGCAGGACGGAAGCGGTGATTGGGGCCCAGGGCTAAAATGGATATTTTTTCTATATCCTTTTTACCGCAGTTCCGTTGCGGTTTTCCTTTGCCACTTACCAGGGCCAACATTTGCTTAACACCGAGAGTAACGACAACACCAGGAATAACAAGTGTGTAAACGCATTGAGCTGAAAATTGTATTTAAAATGAAGTTCACTGCTTTAGTGACGATTTGGTGGGTGGAGCTATGAAGTGGTAGCTGGCAAGATATAGAAAAATCTGATTTCAGGCAACAATATCGTGGTTCTAGCCTTGAAGGAAAACCCCTAAAGCGGAAGTTCAACCCTCGCGGCTTCCGTTCATCGTCTATAAGCAAATGGGATGGGGAGATTGCATTCTTGCATTTCTCCCTGAACTTATGCAAATTTCATATTGATATACCCAACCCCACCATCAGGAGTGCAGTAGTTTATTTTTTAAGGGGGACATTTCAGAGATTAACTTAAATTTTTAGTAGAAAACCTAAAGCTCTAAGTCCTCTGTAGATTTCACAAAAGACTTCAGTAGCGAGACATGCGTTAATGGAATCGATGTACTCACTCCTCTCTTTTTTTTCCAGCGGATAATAGTGCATCGGGCGCCGCGACAGCTGCGAACGAAATCTTCTGGCGTTTCTGGCCATCACGACTCTCGGCAACACTTGGCCAAATGACGAAGCTCCGCATCAACAGGCAGTTAGCGGGGGCAGCTGCTTTTTTCGCTGCTTTGGTTCTGGGCCCGCTGGCCCATCAAATTATCAACTGTCAATACACAAAGCCGGTGACGGCAACAACAGGACTGGGAACGGCAACAGGAAGGGCAAAGGTGCCACAAAAACGGCAACACCAACCCACGAAGCAACATCAACAAATGCCTGGAAGCAGCAACAGGGACGAAAAGGATGTGACAGCTTCAAAGGCGCCACCATTCGCATCCGTATCCACATCCACATCCACATCGAGCGTCAAATGCTTTTATAATTGTCAAATGGCAATGCCAACTGAAAATCGCAATCTCGTCCTGCACGAGGATGATGATGATGGTGCAGCGAATATTGAAAGTGCAACGGCTGCTGCTCCTCCTTCTGATATTGCTGGTGCTGTTGCTAGTGCTGCTGGAGTCGCGAGTTGCAGCATTAAGCGGCTGTCAGCAACACTTATGGGGAGTACGGAGGGCGTGGCCAGTTGGCTGGATCAACGAATATTGATGACTTTGAGGCGGCAGCCGATGGATGCGACGCAGACGCGCTGGAGCGCGTGCTGATGCCGAATTGATGATGAAATCCATTTCCGAAAGTAGCTTAAGGTGCTCGCCACGGCCCTTGCTTACACTGTGTGAAAAGTTGAATGGTATAATTAATATATTATACATACGTATATGCGAGTATTGATTGAATTCGCCAGCTGCATAATTTGACCTGGCAGTAGCTCTTAAGTGTTATACATAAGGTCAGGGATATACGAAAGCGTGGTATATTTAATTATTAAATTATAACCGCTAAGTGGAAAGCTTAATAACAGGAAATACATTTATGTTATGTTAAAAAATTAATACCTAGATGGTGAAACCAGTTATAATTAAAACTACCCCGTAAAGTGCAGTCGCAAAAGAGTAACTCAAAAGGTTTATTAATGAAAATTTTTAAAGACTACTATAAATACTTATTTCAAGGGAATATTAATATTGGTAACATTTTTTAGTTCTAATAAAATAAAAAATATTTTGAAGTGTAATGCCTCTAGGTTTTCATTTCCAAGCAGATTAATTGGGATTACTCTACGTCATTTTGACCATAGCATACATGAGCGATTGTTTGCTGATATGATGCAAGTTTATTTTTATAATTTCTGGCAATTGTTTGACATATTTACTCCTAGATTTCTACTTAAACTTTGCATATTCTTGCCATGAAGCTTATGCTCCAAATATATTAATCAGCACAGATCTATTGCTTCAAAAGTAACAAAATAAATCATCTGAACAAAACAAAACATGAGAAGATCCATAATCTCTTAACAAATTGTACAGTTCTTTTGTGAGTGCGCTTACAGGGTAAAAAAAAAAATACGTATTAAGTCACATACACAAAGAAAAACAAATAACATATTCCATGTATCTTGTAAGGCGAATAAATTGCACTACCCTTTATGTTGCCCAGAAGAATTTTAGCATAAACAGGGGCATGTAGAACAACCCAAGTGGGTAGCAAGGGGAATCCAAAAAATATTCACAGTGTACAGCAAGCTGAACTTTAGACTGCACTTGAGCTTAGCTTTCGGGTACCGTAGTGCATTTTAAAGTGGGCTTTGGTTAACATAAGCTAGGCAGCACTATCCCAGAAACACGCAGATAAACAATAAATATATTTAAACGAACACGTATTAAGTAAACTAGTTTAGAGAAAAGTTAATGTGTAAATAGAAAATATATCCTTTATCGAAAATATATATATCCTCTGTACAGAAAGGAACTTTTTACGGTTGTGGTAATGAAAAGCAAAATTAAAAATTGAAATAGTTCTTCGATTGTAGGAAGCCAGGAATTCATAGAACAATGGATAAAATAAATGAATCTTAATTTTTACTGTAACTCAAACGAAACAAACAATTATTTGAACATTTTTGGCCATCAAAAATCCAGCGGTAAATAGTTCCTTTGTCTATATAATTAATAAATGTTGAAGTAATTGGTAATCCAATAAGAGATGAGAAACCTAATAGTAATCTGTTTACAAAAGTCTATTGTTTATTTAGTAATATTACCTTAATAAAGCGATAAATTATAGATGTGACTCCAACTAGAATTTGAAAGTAAAATAAAAACATATTGTAAATTTGTATAGTTAATATATTAAATATATTTTAAAAATATAATTTTTTGGGATTGTAACAGGTTTATAATGTATCGCTTTGTAATGGTCATTGATTACCTTAAAAAAATAATTATAAAATGTAAATACAATTAAATATGTAAGAGATATGTTATTGAATATTCTTATAAACACAAATGTAAATGTTAAAAAGTTTTAATGATGTATAATCAAAGTAAAATTAATGTGCATGCGCCTAGAGTTCTCCAATCAAATCGTGTTGTGAAAATTGTCTTCCCTTATTTGTGTTGTAATCATAATATTAATTAAAATTTTGATTTATTTAAGTTATTGGAACTATTAATTATTTTTTTCCATTTAACCAGAAAGAGGACAAGCATAAATGTAATTTAATTTCAATGTTATTGTCTAAGATGTTTAAATAATAAAAAATAAAGCAGGAAAATGCTATGTGCTAAGCCAGAATTTAATCTAAAGCAAATGCATTTGCACAAATTATAAAATATTCATATCCCCCATAAATACTCGAAAATGTGTAAAGCTAAACTCAAAGTAGAACTAAGAGAACCTAACCGTGGTGTAAAATGCATAAAAACAAATAAAATAAACCACTTACCAATAATGCATAGAAATAATAGAATGGTAATAACAACTTTATTGAATATTTATGTAAAATGTGAATGAAAATCAAAGCGAAGCATATAATATTAGTGTGTACCATAACCGTAAGCAGGCAAACTTCACATAAATAAACAAAAATAAATATTCAAAATGGTGTTTTGAAATTAAGGATGGATACTTCTCGTACTCACTGTAGAGCTGTTTAAGCTCTCCACCGAAACGTTGCCAGAAAAATACATTCAAAAATACCAGAAAATATCCTTTTTTCGACATTCTGGCAATCCTGAAAGCTTTCTATCCTTCCAAATTCTCATATTTTAAGGTTTTCCAACATTGAAAAAGCTTTTTTTAAAAAGTGCCGGAAAATTTTTGCGCCGGACAAAAACAAGTTTGAAAGCTTGAAGTGAATTTTTCACCACCTATTTTCATGAAAATTCATATGAATATTAATAAATATATATTTATTTTTAGTGGAGATTGAGGAGTATCTATAGTTCCCAGTGAGGCTGGAACTCGCCAAGCAATAGAACAAAGTAGGATCTCCAGTATAGAAGTCCTGCCCTATCGCAACAGGTGCTGGACAGCTTCTACAGCTTGGACTTGGAAATGATTATAAAATTTTAATAAAAGATAGTTGGATTTTATTAATATTTATGGGATTAAAATAAACTAATTAGAGTAGGGGAGAATAAACTTAAAAACTTGTGTAAAGAAATGTTTAAGGGTATACTTATTCTATATTTTACAAAAATAAGAAAGATTTTTATCAAGAACTGCATAATTATCGAATGTATGGGGGCGACGAAAAGAGAGCCAGAGAGTGGGGGGGACAACATGTGGCGAGCCCCGCTCTCTCCCAACCAAAGCTTTTCGGTGTGAAGGTCAGTTGGGACATGGACCAGGCCGAGGCAGCGCAGTCAGCGCGCTTCAATGACGACATAAGCACACCGCGCACAACCCTCTGAATAATTTATTCATTACTAATAGTCATTAAAATATTAAACGGGATACTATTAGCAAAATTAGGAGGCGCGGTGCACTTGTCTCCCCCCACTTGACTTCGGAAAAACTCTATATTCGGACAAAAACTCAGTTTCGCTTTTCATTATAATTTCATTGAATTTCCAATTTGTGTTTTCCACACACGTGTTTCTGTTACCTTCTTGCACCACACCTTACACTTCGGCAGTGGCTATTTTTTTGGGCTACATTGAAGAAAAAATATATCGACTGCCAACAGACTCCATATTTCAACTCTAATTTGACCAATTGACGGAAAATTAATTGAGCTAAAATTACCTAACAAGAGAATATAATTTTTTTTTTTTTACGTGAAACGAGCGTGTTATTTGTTAGACTGATTTTACAATTGATTGTGTTTAAGTTAATTAATTTTTGAGACATTTTTGTTTGTGCTGCGATACGAAACTCGGTTTTGAGGTAAGTGCCGTACTTGTTTTGGCGGCAAAAAGTTGTAATATTTTACAATATGCTCCACCTCCCACATTCTGGCGCCAAAATGAATGAAAATGTTGCCAAGACCCTCGCCCCACTGTTAAGCACTTAACAGTGGCAACATTCCGGCTGTTGGGGTTCTTAGCAACATGTTTTCTCTTTCTGTTTTGGGGGAGCGGTTCATTGACCCACCAACAACAATATTCAAGAGAATTTCTCCTGCGATCGGCTAGCGAAATTCATCGAAATCCCGTTCTACAGTTAGGATACCTGTGGGGAAATTGGGAATTGGGAATCGATCGGGTGCTAACTTTTAATTTCCACCAGCCACGTTCAATTGCCTTCGAGTCGCTTTTTTAAGTGGTAGCCCCAAGACGCCCGAATTTCCAGCAAGCTATTCTGACGCAACCACGACACACCCCGACCCCGACCCGAACTTTTATATACTGATTACTGATATATATAGACTGAAATATATACGCTTCGATCCCCAGTAGATCACACCCTAAATGCCTTTCGTCGAAAGATTCCAACAAATACGTAATTTTGTTATGAACGTTTGTCTCGCCGAGGCCATCCAATTCGTCCAGGACCTCTCGCACGCCATCTGCCTCGACTTCCAGGGCCTGTTCAACCTCAAGTAGGAGGCCACCAATCCTGGTGCCAATCCATCGGTAAGTGACGCCATTCCAGAAATGTGAAAGTGAAACGAAAGTGGAGCGAAAGTGTCGAGCGGTATTACGGTTTCTAGTTATTTCGATTCCCTTTTCGAGAGACCTCATGGCAGGACCGCTGCACACAATTCAGAGGTTATGTCTCAAAGTAGAATAGCAGCCTTTTAGCAACCCAACTGGGAATATTTCAAAACAGTATTCAGTTGAGAATAGGTGGCGATCATTTCCAATCACTTCATTTAGGGAATAAATTTAAAAATGTGTAAAAATTGTTAAATTTAGCATAAGCTTTTCGTGGCCATAGGAAAGTTTTACTCATTTCGTGTTTTATATTTTGTAGAAAAGCTGTGTTTTTAATTCGTTTTGCAAAAAAAGTATTAAAATTTTCGCTAAGTAAAATCAATTAAAATAAATTTTTAGAAATAAGAAACGTAAAAAATTGCTTCCTTGGAGTCTTGACACGGCTTTCCCTATCCCATACTGTATGGGATGTCAAAGAAGTCATTAGATCGGTAAGGTCATGGTAATGGGAATGATCCAAATTCTGCATTTTATATCTCATCTTCAGCTCACCTCACGAAATCACCCATACACTCACCACACTCATCCATACACATACCCTAAAAACACACACACATAAACCCATCCACCAACTAAAGCGCATCCCCATATTCGACGTTGCTGTAAGCCATCAGCGGACAGAAAAGACCGACCTTTTTTCTTGGTTTTGAAAACAAAACGACTGACCCATTACGAAATGCTTTCTTGCGCCTCCTTTAACAAACTCATCTACCCGACGGCCGCAGATGTCGCCAAATCGCCCGTGGTGGGTGTTGAGGTGGGTGGCGGCGGCGGCGGAGGTGTCGGAGTGGGCATGGCTGGGAGTATTGGGTCCCTGGCCAGCCTCCAGACCCTGACCTCCGTTACGTCGATGGGCAGCAATGCGCCCAGCGAGACCCAGAGCGAGATATCCTCGGTGGATAGCGATTGGAGTGACATACGCGCCATCGCCATGAAGTTGGGCGTAAAAAATCCAGACGATCTGCACACCGAACGGTTCAAGGTCGATCGCCAGAAGTTGGAGCAGTTGATAAAGGGTAATAGACACACCCCTAAATCTATAAGATATAGCTATAATATTGTTGCCTTATCTTTATATTTTATTTAGCGGACAGTGCCATAGAAGGCATGAATGGAGCCGAGTATTTCTTTGATGATGTAAGTATAACCTTTCTAAATAATATACATATTAATTCAACTTAGTTGAAAAACACTAGATTTCCCAAAATGAAAATACCATTTAGTAATATCTAATTTTCATTTTCATTTTCAATTCATAGAATGCCTTGCATTTTGTGTGATTTACAAAACATTACATAACATGCTTTCGAATCTGTAGAACCTTAAGTTATTTACTCTTTGAACCAAATTTTTAAGTTATATGATTCATGTCTTTCGTTTGGTTGTCCGACCCCATTACCACAAATTTCAGTGTATGCGCTAAGCATTTTAGTCACTGTTGAATTCGGCAATAATCCTTCTTGACTTGATATACTTGATTCGCAATATATCCAATATCAACTGTTTTACTAGATCATGAACACGACGGATACCTATGTGAGCTGGCCTTGCAGACTCAAAATCGGCGCCAAGAGTAAGAAGGGTAAGATCCTTTAAAAATCTTAAAATGATGGAGAATATTTGTTAAGTGCTTTTTTTTCATCAGATCCCCATGTGCGAATCGTCGGTAAAGTGGAGCAGGTGCAGCGGGCCAAGGAACGCATCCTAAGCAGCCTTGACTCGAGGGTGAGTTTCTTTTTAATAAATTTAAGAAATTTATTAAGTTTTCTATTTAGGGCACCCGTGTTATCATGAAAATGGACGTTAGCTACACGGACCACTCGTACATCATTGGACGCGGCGGCAACAATATTAAGCGAATCATGGACGACACCCACACCCATATCCACTTTCCCGACTCCAATCGCTCTAATCCCACTGAGAAGTCCAACCAGGTGTCGCTGTGCGGCAGCCTGGAGGGCGTGGAACGAGCCCGGGCACTGGTCCGCCTCTCCACGCCCCTGCTCATCTCTTTCGAGATGCCCGTGATGGGACCCAGCAAGCCGCAGCCGGACCACGAGACGCCCTACATCAAAATGATTGAGAGCAAGTTTAATGTGCAGGTGAGCTAGTGGGTAGGGGGCAAAGATCAGTATCCTTCAACGTCTCTGACGCATTCCAGGTCATATTCTCAACCCGTCCCAAGCTGCATACCTCACTAGTGCTGGTGAAGGGATCCGAAAGGGAGTCCGCTCAAGTCCGAGATGCCACTCAATTGCTGATCAACTTTGCCTGCGAGAGCATTGCAGTAAGTTTAGCACTCACATGATTCAAGATTTTTGTTCTAATGAGAATCATCTTTTTAGAGTCAAATTCTCGTGAATGTCCAGATGGAGATCTCGCCGCAGCACCACGAGATCGTTAAGGGAAAGAATAACGTGAATCTACTTAGCATCATGGAACGCACCCAGACTAAGATCATCTTCCCCGATCTTAGTGACATGAATGTTAAGCCGCTCAAGAAGTCGCAGGTGACAATCAGCGGACGCATCGACAATGTTTACCTGGCACGACAACAATTGCTGGGCAACTTGCCCGTAGCATTGATCTTTGACTTTCCGGACAACCAGAACGATGCCTCCGAGATAATGGGGCTCAACACCAAGTACGGCGTGTATATCACCCTGCGCCAGAAGCAGCGCCAAAGCACCCTGGCCATTGTGGTCAAGGGCGTGGAGAAGTTTATAGGTAGGTCCAAAAATATTAAATTATTCTTCTTTGATCTATAATATTAATATCTACTCTTTGCTCTCGCTTTTAGACAAAATATACGAAGCCCGTCAGGAGATACTGCGCCTGGCCACGCCCTCCGTCAAGCCCGGAGATCCCCGAGCTCTACTTCATGCCCAAAGACAAGGACCTGAGCCTGGCCTACCGAACTCAACTGACTGCCCTGCTAGCAGGCTATGTGGACAGCCCCAAGACCCCATCCCTGCTTCCGCCTGCTCTGGCGGGTCAGCTCACGCCCTACGCCAACAACAACCACCTGCTGCTGAATGCCAATGCAGGTGTGGCTGTGGGTGGCTTGGCCACGCCCACGGGTATATGCGCGCCTACTCAGAAGTATATGCAGCTTCACAACAGCGCCTTCCAGCAGAGTCAGGTGGGGACTGCTCAGGCAGGACGCCCGCTCAGTGTGAACCACAACAACAACTACCTACAAGTGCCCGGCGGAGTGGGCGGAGTAGGAGGAACGGGGCAGCTGAAGCCACCGCCCATGAACGTTTCGCCTCGAAACAGCTGCAGTCAGAACACCAGCGGCTATCAGAGCTTCAGCAGCAGCACCACGTCACTGGAGCAGTCCTATCCGCCTTATGCCCAGCTGCAGGGAGCCGTCTCATCCACCTCCTCCTCGGCGGGCTGCGCGAATCGGGCGCACTATTCTCCCGATTCCACATATGGCAGTGAGGCAGGAAGCGTGCCGGGTGGCGGCGGAGGTGGTGGTGCCCGTCTGGGTCGCCGCCTGAGCGACGGTGTCCTCTTGGGCCTGGGCAACGGGTCAGGCGGAGGGGCTCCTCTGCTGCCTGGCAGTGCCGAGAGCTACCGCAGCTTGCACTACGACCTGTCCGGATCTGGATCTATTTCGGGCTCTGGAACAGGAGCTGCCGGCAACAAGCATGCCAATATCCATCGGGCTTTCGACTTTGACATGAAGCGGGCGTTGGGCTTCAAGGCCATGGAGAGAACACCCATAGCAGGTGAGCTTCGCACTCCCACCCCTGCCTGGATGGGCATGGGCCTCAGTTGCACCTCACCAGCTCCGCTCGAGACGGCAGACGACGGCGGCGGTGCCGGAGCTGGAGCAGGTCCCGGAATGGGCAACGGATGGCGGCTGCCGGCAGGACTGGGCTCTCCGTACGGGCTAAGCGCCACTACCGGGCTGCTGGACGCCACCCCAGTGAACCGCCGAATGCATCTGGCACAGCACAAGGACATCCAGACCCTTCTCACTAGCTTGGGGCTGGAGCATTACATCAGTGAGTAGTTCATGACGAATGTATTTTACCAACTGTGAATTTGAGATGTGTTTTATAAAGTGCGTCATTGATAATGGTTATTGCTCTGAATTTTTAATGTGATTGTCCTCAAACCGAAGCCAGTAGTATTGGGTACTTTATGTTGTCCTTGTAGCCTGGTGTTATATCTAACTATGTGGAATGTGTACTGTATACAGCCACTACTTATTAATTTGTTCGTCTTTCAGAAATTTTTGTGCTCAACGAAATCGACCTGGAGGTGTTCACCACACTGACGGAAGAGAACATGATGGAACTGGGTATCGCCGCGTTTGGAGCTCGCAAGAAGCTGCTGGCGGCCATCCACACGCTGCTGGCTAGCGAGGCAGCCTGCAGCAGTATGCCCAGCAGCAGCTCCTCGCAGAATTCCTCATCGCCGCGATTCTCCGGCAGTGCGGCCCCCGGCGCTGAGCGCCGTCCCTCCAACCAGTGGTGATCCATCCCAACTACACACCAGCACCACCACCCCTTTATTTATTTACTCTCCCACAACTAGTGGGTACTATTTGCATGCATGCATCGTTTTGTAGTCGTAGGATAACAAAAACAAAAAAAAAAAAACAAAAAACACAGAAGTTGAATCCCGGAAACGGAAACCCGTAGAGAACCTCTTGAAATATTCCCTAAATGCGCGTGTGAGGACATCACACATACAGTTTGGCATCGACCTTGACTTATACTCGCACTTGTACTCAAATTCCAAGTAGCAGAGCTGTGCTAGGGAAAAGTTATCAGAAGTTCGCCCTAGCTCGTAGTTATCTTATTTTAAGCGATTAATTTATTTCGAAAATATTTATATAAAACAAACACACAAAAAGAAAATTGTATTAGCAAAAATTGTGAATTATTTATGAAATCAAACTAAACGAAATCATGTATTGTAAGAAATGAATTTATGTAAATTAACTGAAATAGAAAACGGAAAAATAGGTACTCGCAGGCTGAATTAAGTGATAAGCGAAAAAGTCACTCGCAAAAATTGATATGAATAAATTGATGTCTATTGAAAACTAATTCAAAATTCGTACGCCTTGTTATTACTCCTCATCTCGTATTGATTTTGTCTATTTTCGGATATTGAACTCGTTTCTCCTCTAATGACCAAGGATAATGAGGCTAATGACTTTGTTGTCTCCACTTGTCTGCATAATTTGTGTTGCATTATTGTTCCCTGTCTCGAAGGCGTGCCAAGAAAAACTTCCCAGCACAACAAATTCTTCCAGTATGTGTGTTCGGGTCACACACTAACAAATCGGGAGGTTGTACTGGGCGTGGCAGTGGGCGTGGTGGGGCTAATGAACTGGAAATGGCTTGCTCCAGTTGTCAGTGGCTCTTGCTGTACTGCGGTCATCAGCATAATTGCAAATTTTTATGATTATGACATTTCGGGCGCAAAGTGTGGCTGCCAATGGCAACTAATTTTCCATACCATCTCTTGGTCGGCTTCAGTTTTGTTTGGTCATTTTCATGGGTCTATGCTCCACTTGAGTGCTTTCAGAAGCCCCTTGGGGGGGACGTCTTGGCAGCCAATTTGATTTACAGTTATGCTGGATTTGGAAAAGGGTTCATCGGCCAGACAAGAAGTCGCCTGGTCAATACTGGTTATGCAGCTGCTTGGGATATGGGATGGTTTTTTTTTAAAATTTATTTTTTTTGTTGTTTAGGAAACTATATAAATATTCTACTTCACTGCGGACCATTAAAAAACTATTGTGGACTATTGTTTGTTTTACAGCCCTGTATTTTACTAACGAACTAACAATCAAACGATATTGCCAAGGACAAGATTACGATTACAATTAACGCAGTTATCGAATCATAACCTTCGCTAGGAAGGCTTTGGAAAAATCTTGTACCTTACGATTTCTATTAAAATTTCTCAGTTGCTGTCTGGCCTCCGAACAAATCGGGTCTACTATATTTTCACTATTTTATTTATTTTTCTTGTTTTAATTTTATTTATTTTTTCTGAGTCCTCCCTTCCAGGGGATCAAGTCTTCTATAGTTTTATTATTTTATTTTAATTTTTTTTCGATTTTACCATGGTTTCTTGTAATTATTGGCTCTCTGCAACTATGGGTCTTTTTAACTGCAATCGTAAGATTCGATGGGAAGGGATTGGATCACTTCTGTTTTTACTATTTTATTAAATTTTGTTTATTTTATTTTAATTGGTTTTGATTTGAGTGTTTTGATTTCTGCTTTCCCAAAGAATCAAGTCTTTTATGTTTTAATTATTTTATTTTAATTTTTGTTATTTACGATTTTACCATGGTTTCTTAAGTAAGTGCCCTGCAGGACTGTTCCTATTAAACTTTTGCTCTCAGTTAATATGTTTTAGTATTAGGAGCAGTCTACTGTCAACTATCCAAGGGTTCGTTTCTGATATATTTTCATTATTTTGTTTTTTGTTTTGATATTTAAAGCATATTATTTTTTACTTCCTGTAATTGACAAAAGTTTTTTTTTTTTATTTTTGAATCTAGCTATAGTTCTAGTTCCCTTTCTATTTCCAGTTCTAGCTTATTATTTTTTTTTATTGTTTATTATTTTTTATTTTTTTTTTTCTTAGTTGAATGTAACTTTGAAACAAGTTAAGATATTTTATGTTATATAAATAAGATACAAAATTTAATATTCTGCATTTTACAAAAGAGCAATGGGGTGAATGTTATGAAAGCAGTAAGACAAGCAGTTCAAAAAGTCAATAAAGCAGTTTAATAAAGCAGTTGATTTCGAAAAATGTACTCACCACGAAGGGGAAAGTTTGTGCGTCCACCACGACTGACACACTTTTCTCTCGCCAGAATTTTCTCTCTCTCTGCCCTCCTCCCTTGCAAGGACTCGAATGCTTCGTGATTTTCCGAAATCCTAGCTCGGATTTTCCGAGCTCCGTTCGGCTAGCCCCGCGTCCTGTTTGCCAATTGGGAAATCTGTGCAAAGGACTCGTAGCGAGGCGAACACGGAGCCTTCCGCTGCAGTTTACATTGCGTTGCCTTTGCGTAAGGACATCATCCTTTTTTGCTCCACATCTGGTAGTGCGAACAAGAGAAAAACATCGGCCAACAAAAACTGAAATAAATACAAAAAAAAAAGAAAACACAAGTAAATGCAACCGGAACGGAAACCGCGGATTGAACTCCTGCGTTTGTGATAGTGGTGTCCTTGTGCTTTTGACATCGCACTTGCCGAAATCGCAAAGAGCGGAAAAGGCGATCCGGAAAAGGATCTCGTCCTTAACTGGTTTCCCGGGTGCGTGTATGTGTTTGTGTGTTACGGTGCGAGGCTGTTGCTTCTGGTGTGATTGTGTGTATGTTTGTGCAGTCACGTGTTCTAAGGTGATTTTAACGAGTTCCGCGATTCGCAACAGGAGATAAGCAGCAGCAGTAGCAGTAGCAGCAAAAGGACGAACGAAAAGCGAAGAAACAGCTTAGGCAAAAGCAAAAAAATAAAGGGAACCGAGTACGGCTAAGGGAAGCCAAGCAACGAAAATCCTCTTTTGCCAGGACGCACAGGATGCTCGGTCCATGCGTCTTAAAGGATTCCCAGATAAATCATCTGAAAATTGCATGAAATAAAATTGTTTGCCAAATTGTGCAAAGGATACAAAGAAGAGAAAAAAAGTTTAAAAAAAACATCTTAGTACGCAAATACGTTTGTGAAATATGACTGCAAAAATACATTTCAAAAAATAAATTTAAAAAAAAACAACGTGAAAATAACGAGCCATTTATCAGTTGAAACTTAAGGTAGGCAATATATAAGAAAATAAATATTGTTGGGAAAAACTATAAATATTGGAAGAATATCTTAAATATAAGTTTCGTTAAAATTGCAACTATCAAGGATCTCCAATATACTCATTTTTTTTTTACTTAATACTCAACTGGCAGGCCAATTTCTGGGATAACCTTTCACATTCACTCGGGGAGAAGATGAACCGAAAGATAGACAGGAGGGCGTGCCCCAACTTATCCGGGGAGCAAACAAAACTTGTCAATTGCAGGGAATCGTGTCGCTGGAACCTCCGTAAACATTTCCCATAGTTGCTATAGAGAACTATGCAACAATGTCTTGAACCGGCACAGCTCCTTCAATTTCCTCCGCTTTTGTTGATGTAAAATGTCAACTGCCTAGCCGGGTTTCCTCCCCTCTTCGGCTTCTCACTGACTAGGCAAAAATTGTATTTAGTGGGACAATCAATATCGGATGGGGGGCGGAGTTGGCCGACAGTCAAACATTTATTTGATTGACTGATTGATATGTGAAATGATTTATTGCCGGCAGAGTGGCGTTGCTGGAGAGCTCCCGGGCAGGGCAAACCAGGCTGGGCCAACTACTTTACCAAACAGAGCTACTTCCCAGAACAAGTCGGAAAAACAGAAAATTTATTTCACACTCTATCTTTGCTATTTCGTTTATTTCGAGAATTTCTCACTGGCCAGTTGAAATGGCTCGCTAAAAACTTTCGCAGGCTTTATGTGAGAATAAAGTAAATAATGAAAGCTATTTAGCACAGCCAAGGGGCGCATTAAGTTGCCGCCGACGTTTTCGGATTATCCTGTGACCGGCTTAAATACAACAACTGGACTAAATGCACGAATACACCGTGGAAATACTAAATAGTTTGGTCTATTTAAGTGCTTTTTGAAATTTTTCATTAAACTTTAGAGTCCAAAAAAAATAAAAATTAAACCCCATTAAAACGAGTTTAGCTTTGTTGAGAAATTCAAGAAGAAATAATATTTTTCTTAGTGAAATATCGACCATGAACATCGTTTAATGAGCTGTGCCTTGATCTGAGCTTCGCCTGGAGAAATTTCAACAATTTTTTACTGCCACCTGCAACGGTGTCGCATTCTTCTCTGGACCTGACATTTTTTACTTCCTCATTTTTTGTGTGGCTGAAAATGCAATGTTTTATGAAAGAGGTCACAACCGAACTTTAAAAGACTTCATAAAAAATGAAAGCTACTATAAATTTTTTAAAGCCTTGCTGCCAATGTGCTAGTACGTTTTAAGATATTCTGAAGCGATTCACATATAAATATTCACCAATAATTGGCTTGACTTCTTGCTCAAATAATGGCAGACTTAATTGTATTTACTGAATTAGTTCAATTTTTGATAGCCATTTAATATTTATCGCATAATCGAATTAAATGCATGAAACTGCCGATGCAAAAGCAGCCAATTGCATAATAATGCAATCAAATAATTAATGAATTCGTTTTCCGTTTAAGTATGAATTTCTGATGGATCGTAGCTTTAAACATAAAGATGAATTTCGGATTCATTTTCCTGGCGGTATGGGATGTTTTTTTTTGGTTTTGGAGAATGCTCATTCATCATTGAGGGCAAAGTGCCATCTCAGGAAAAACTTTCACACAAATCCCCATTCTAATTTTTATCTCGGGGTAATATATGGATTGAAAACGACAGAAACTTTACAAATTTTCCAGCGTCTGGATGCACAACTTTTTTCTGCTGGCCTTGCAAATCTTATATCGACTCAAACTTCGCCTGAACAAATATGAAAACACGGCGGAAAAAACCCCCTGGGCGATTGAAAATATTTCATATGTAAATCCATTGTTGTTGTTATCGGCTGTATGGCCAGTGGCTCTCCGGGACTCGGAATCCAGCATCCAGAATCCAGCATTCAGAATCCAGAATCCCGAATCCGGATCGCAGAGTGGTGCTGCCATGGATGTGGCAGTGTAATTTAGGGCTTCGTTGCCTACTTTTTGGCGCCACGGGCGCATCTCAAGTGCAACACTCCCAAGAAGACTCTGTACCTAGAATATTTGCTGTTCGTTTGCGGTTGCGAAAATGTTGCGGCATGTGGAAATTTATTTCATAATCTCTGCAACAACAAACCTTCACATATACATACATATAGCGCCCGCCCAGGAAGCAACGGAAAATGGGGGAAAACTTTTGCATATGATAGTGAAGGGACATGGGGCTGGGGAACTATGAGTAGCTAAGCATGTAATTTATATCCTTGAGTGCCCCCACCTTTTCCCTTCAAAAAACTCCAGTATCGGGCTTCCTATTGGTTTGGGTTTCTGCATCTATGCAGCTATTTTAGATGCACAGAGGCGTTGGCTCTGAAAATGTATAGGGCTTACGAAAAATGAGACCCTACAACGGCACCAAATTACATGAATAGTATTCCTTTTTGATTTTTAACAAATTTTTAGTACTTTAGCCTTAGAGAGTGACTATAAAACAATATTATTTTTCCAGTTGGTATTTGTTTCTTTATTTTTCATTAAAAGTATAAATCTAAAGATATGGTTTATGATTCTCGTTGCCATGTGATAACTACGCCTCTGTTAATATTGCAAAATATTCCCATATTTTTTTTGATGCAGCCATGCTAGTTTTCCGGTGTTGGTTGAACCAGCCATAAATTTGTTTCTGCTCCTTTTGTGGTGTCTGGTTTTTCTACGGCTGCCTGGTATTGCAGCTTCAGCTTCAGCCTTCGCTTTTTGCCGCTCCACTTCAGACCAATTTTATTTGACCACATAAATTGTTTACCAATTTTCACAAGTTCTGCGCAACTCTATAGCTATACGAGCTTTGTTTTTGGCTCTGAATGCTGAAAGCGGTTTAATAGCTCTCTACTCTTGGCTCTTGGCAAACCTATTATGATTTAGCAGTCAAAGCCGAGCAATCCATCTTGGTAGGTTAAAATTGTGTTTCATTTTCTTTGTATGTCGGAACTCTTGTTACATTGTAATCGAAATATCTCTGTGATGGTAGAATTTCAACACAAGCCGATTTCATGGCAATCAGCAAGGATGACAGGACATATTTATTGCTCTGATAGTTTTGCAAATGGCCTTTTTGGACTGCACGATTATTGATGGATTTATGGACTTAATTATTAAAATAATTGTTTACAAATTGTGTTATCTGCTACGCATTTTAATTAAACAAAAAATAAATTATATAATTTATGTAAATCAAAGTGTTTACCATTTGTCTTTAAAAGTGCACATGTAATTAACTAAGCCAAACAGGGATCAAGGCTTTGAATTTGTGTTAAGTTTTTATCCCTTTTTGTGCTTTTCAGCTCCTTTTTGCAACTTTCTCCGCTTTCCCCGGAAGAGGAGGAGACCGTATAAGAATGCACTCTGTGCGGCTTATCGCGTTGGGAACAGACTTGGCCTTTTTGTTTGTCTTGCCACCAGTCGCAGTCGGTCGTTTAAGTTTGTCAATGCATAAATTAAAAAGTTAAAAGTTTCCACCCAATTCTCCTTTGTTTTCCCTGTTTTCGGTTTTCGGTTAGTTTTGTGCTGACCCTAATGAAGCCAAAGCAATTAAGCCAGGGCATTGCGGTGTTAATGGGATATAGACAAAATAACCACTTGGTCGGACCTTGGGGCCATGTGAGCCACAATGCGAATTCCCATACGAGATGGCGTCCTAGCCTCGCTTTTGTCCTGATTCGGTAATACAATTTGCTGCTATAAAAGATTACAACTTGTTAAAGTTCCTCCTCCGAAGCTTCAGACTCTCGGCAGGTCCACTCGAGCTGACCAGGGGATTATTATAATCCGATTTCAAACTTAAAGTGCACCCCTAAAAAGAAGACGAGAATTTATGGAAAAGTGTTACACCCCCTGGCAGGGGCCCGAAACATTTGATGTGCAGTTAGGCAACAATGTGTTTTTTTGGCCAGGCACGGAACTCGCCTCCTTCTCTGTTAATGGAAAACTTTTCACTCAAAGTGTATGTGTAGGAGAGGAAAATCGCTGCAGTTTTCTTTATAGTTATTACTTTATACAGTTTCCCCTTGTTCCTTTCCGGCTGATTACAAAATTGCTTTCAATACTTTGCCCCAAAGAGTGACTATAAGAAACTCACTTTGCAACACCTGCCTCGGGGGCAACATGGCCCGGCCCAGTCGAATGCATTGGCCAAAAAGACTTACAAGCTGCAGCCAAAGTTTAACGCATTAAGAACTGGTGTTGCTGTCTGCCACCGATTCAGGATGTTGTTCCACCACGTTTTCGTGTGGGTGTTGTATACAACATCCCAAGACTTTTAGAGTCTGGTACAAAAAAATGCTTTACATAAGCTCCAGTCACGTGAGGTTTCCAAAGTAGTGAAGCCGATAAGTGATTTTGACTTTTAACATAATTTTTTAAATATTTTAAGCAATTTTGTGGTTATATGAAAAGCTTGTATTTTATTCAAATATTTAATATCTTTTTTCAGAAAGTGGTCGTTCATCACAAGTGTTGGTTCATCATGCGGTTTCCCCGAGTTGTGTGTCAAACGGCTCTAGCCACACTTCTTCTGGCAATCAACTTTGGTAAGCTCAACTAACAATTTTATTATCAATGGGAAATAAACTCTTCCAATTCAAATTTGATAATACATGACGTAATGTTAAATTATTGCCTAATATCTGACCCACATTAATAAACCCTGAATAAAAACGATAATTATAAATTATAATGATGGCAAAACATTGAATTGCAATTATGATTGACGTGAATTAAAAATAATATTTATGTTTATTAATTTCTTATTTTATTAATTTCAACAGTTTTCCGCTGTGAGGACATGTCCCTTCCCCTGTTGGCGCCATAAATGCTAATTAGTTGCTATTAAAATAAATGTCAGAGAAATGTTGCGCGAAAATTTATGAGATTTCGGCACACAAATAGCAATAAAATCGAATTGTGTTTAATCAAACCACAGAGAATAATTCAAATTCCTATGAGGCCATTAAATGATTATATTAATAAGTTATCGGGATTTGTTTGGGATAACCACACAGTGGACTTAGGAACTATTCTTATGTGTCACTGGTTTTTGGAATATTCATTTTTCAATAAATCAAAATTTGATTTAAAGAGCCACCGCATTCAAATGGCAAAATGTGAAGCCAATAACTCACTCTGTCAGCGTCTTCTGGCACATATAGACGATTAACTCTGGCCATACTTTACACACACTTCAAAATTTTATTGCCTCGTCTTTGCGGCTTTCGCCGCCATTGGAGGTCTCATTTTATTTACCAGCGCACATAAATTCCAAAAACCGCACGCACACTCAAACTGCCGCGTATCCAGGACGCTCGTACATGCATATAAATATTTCAGCATCTGCTAGGAGGAGACTACCAAACTGATTTATTCAATAAATCACACAAGTTGCTGCGGCTTCCTTGCTGCCGCCAAGCCCCCTCCGTTTGCCGCCCATTCACCTGGCTTTAACCCTTGAACGTGCGCCGCAGATTTAAATTTTATCTGCATCTTCGACCCACTCAATCGGTTTCGGAGCAGAGTGCCAGGACATGTGTCAATAAAGGCGGAAAATATATCAAATAAATGCATTTGCCTTGGAGGAGTAGGCATGCCCCAGGCTAGCTTATAGGTCGGTAGGCGGCATCTGACAGTTGATTTTCCTCCTATGTATCTATCCGTCGCTCTATCAACAGAAACTTAAATGACAGAGAATACATCAAACGACATTTAATCCCTTCGCGAGACTGAAATTTTGGACTCTTTGTCACTTTGAACGATCCAGTCGAGGAGCTGGCAGGATTTGGGAGGAGCCTCTCACATGGCCGCCTGTTATCCTTTTTTCCACGGCTCCTTTTTCTTCTTCTCGTTAGCGCCCGACATCCATAGAGCTCTGAATGGGTCCGGTGGTCTTGATAAATGCTCTCAACGTGCCTGGCATTTGTTTTGTGTGCCATACCTTTTTCAGTCTTTATTTGGTGAAACACACTCCTTCCTCGGAGGCTGTGACAAGTGACTTTTTGGGCTTAGTTTTTGCAATATTCAACACAGCACCAACAAGTCTTGTAAAATGTAAGGATTATAGTCTTGAAATGTGGCTTTATAAAATGAGGTACAAAATGAGATAGAAATACTAGAGGTTTAAGGTTTATTTTTACTTTAAAAATGGCAAGCGTTAAGGTCAAGATTTTGTATCAACCTTCAGCTCTCTTTAAGAGGTGTTGTAGAATTCTCAAAAATCTTAAGATTCTTTTAACTAAATACTGTACAAATAAAAGGTATTATCCTAAGGTTGGCTCTGCCATGCCTATCTCTGCATCTTCTCAAATGCAGACATCGTATTTTCTTTAAATTAGCTCCATTGAACCCTGATTCACTGCCCTATGCACACAACCTGTGCAGCCCACGTGTTTTGGGTCAGCCAGAGGCGCCCATTAGCCATGTAGGAGAGGATTGGCCACCCACACCGAAAAAACACGCCCCGCAAAGGGAAACGAAAGTCTGGCCGTGCGTTCAATGTCGCACAAAAACGTTTATTAACCTGCCATTATCGAGCCGGGGCCCAAGTGCACTCGATGTAGATGAGGACATTGTACTAGACTCCGGAGACCTTTTCTCCCCCATTCCTCGTCCTTGTGGCAATTCACAATTCAGAGGGCCGATAAAAATCTCCAGCACGCACCACAATCGGTGTGAGTTGGCCATTCGGGTGTGTGGCACTCACATTTCTATTTTGTTGAACAAAACTCACATACAAGTGGCTAATTAGCTGGGGGCCACGTAAAACGGTCGTGCACTTGATTTACTTTTAATAACCACATGCTGAACCTTGGCCCGGAGCTGTTGCAAATTTGTGACAGCATTATTTCCATTTCGGCTTGCTTCAAACTTGTGTTAATGTCTTAATGTTATGGCCGACCAATTGTTTGGGGAAATTGACATTTATTCGAGTTTTGTGCCCAGACGAGCTTTGTTCGGAAAATTAGAGGCTATCATGCACAAAAGCCTGTAATTTGTATTAGCCGCAAATGTGATTTAAATTGCAAGGAGCAAGCATTCTGGGGAGGATATCCGAAAGGTGTGGCTTTCTCTTGGCTTATTGATTTTATTATGTTGACATCAATTAGAAGTCAAGTGTCTGATGGTCTGATTAGGTTTGTTTCGGGACATCCGAATATTAAATTCCAAAACGAACTTAATAACAATCTAGCTTCAAGTTAGCTTCGATCAAATAATATATGTGCAGTGTATTATTGCAATAATATTGTTGAAATTAAGGTTGTTTAATTAAGCCATTGCTCTAGTTTCCTTTGCTAATTTCATCTTCCGGAAGATGTCATTTTAGTGTCGTTTGCCGCAACTCCTTTTCACTTTGTCCCATTGCCTTTAATTAAAACGCAATCGAGGAAGCCTCTTCGGCTGAAAATCAATTCCTGTATATATTATCGAACCAATTATTGAGCATACCGTGGCATGGAATTTTTGATCCGATGACATCTAGCAAACCATTTTTCCACTCGAGACATGCCACCGCGCAGATCTCCTTTCGTCCTGCCAGACCTGCCATTCAAGGATGCTTGACTTGGCTTCGCCTTTCGCTTGGCATACTTAAAACTAACAGGCAAATCAATGGAAGAGGGTATCGGGGAGCTCCTACTGCTGCTGCTGAAAAAAAAGAAAATATGAATAAGCTGCGAGTGTTTGGAATTTCGAATTCCAGTCGTTTCCTCGTTTGCTAAAAAATCATACCAAACGCTAACACCAAACCAAACCAAAGGGAGGCGGCCCCCGAACAGCTATTATTGATGCAGAGACCTGTGCACCGGCATAGTGGCAGGAAGGGGTAGAATGGGGGCTGGCCGGATCGTTACATAAAATGCATAAAAATCTCGATTCAGCTAAAAGCTAAAAAAAGAAAGCAACGCGTCGCCTGGGATGGGTGGGCAAATTGAAGCTTTAGCCACGACTGACAAACTGCAGCTGTAACGGCCAAATGTTTTTGGCCATTTTATTTTTCATTTTCGCTTCGTTTTCGTTGTCAAGCGGATGGGACGAAGCTTAACAATTTTTATGGCGATGCCCCATGAAGGCCCGGCTCCGAAATATGGATGCCGTGGGTGGGCGGCTGAGTTCGAGCCATGGGTTAAGCGGCTTAATTGCTCTGGTAAGGTCAATTCTGGGTACGCAAAGCCCTCCAAAAGGAAACTATTTTCATGGAATGCCTGCAGGCGAAAACCGGTCCGGAGGCATGAAGAAATTTGCATAATAACAGGAAACAATTTTGTGTGTTTGAGTGCGTGTCCTGGGCCACCATATGAGATCGCATTGGATCCTGGCCATCGGCTTTGGTTTTGGTTCCGTAGCAATGCACCGGAAAACGATGTGTTAGCTTAACAAAATGCAGCTAAAGCCCAAATTACAGAGAGAGAGAAAACTATATCAAACGAAAAATAACATTTTTTCGTTTAAGGTACTCCGCTTGAGAATCGGATAAGAATTGGGGAAGATAGAGCCATCACTGTGGGCCATATAGGGGAAACCACATTTTCAAGGGATCCCATCAAGAAAAATGGACAAAAAATTTGAAAAATATTTTGTCTCACGATTTTGATGCAGAATGGTGAAGAATCGATCCAGAAATCGTTTAAGGTACTCCGCTTGAGAATCGGATGAGAATTGGGGACGATATAGCCATTATTGTGGGCCCTATAGGAAAAACCCCCTTTTCGAGGGATCCCATCACAAAAATGGACAAAAAATCTCAAAAATATTTTGTCTCAGGATTGTGATGCAGAATGGTGAAGAATCAATCCAGAAATCGTTTAAGGTACTCCGCTTGAGAATCGGATGAGAATTGGGGACGATATAGCCATTATTGTGGGCCCTATAGGAAAAACCCCCTTTTCGAGGGATCCCATCACAAAAATGGACAAAAAATCTCAAAAATATTTTGTCTCAGGATTGTGATGCAGAATGGTGAAGAATCAATCCAGAAATCGTTTAAGGTACTCCGCTTGAGAATCGGATGAGAATTGGGGAAGATATAGCCATTCCTGTGGGCCGTATAGGGGAAAACTACATTTTCAAGGGACCCCATCAAGAAAAATGGACAAAAAATTTGAAAAATATTTTGTCTCACGATTTTGATGCAGAATGGTGAAAAATCGATCCAGAAATCGTTTAAGGTTTTCCGCTTGAGAATCGGATGAGAATTGGGGACGATATAGCCATTCCTGTGGGCCGTATAGGGGAAAACTACATTTTCAAGGGACCCCATCAAGAAAAATGGACAAAAAATTTGAAAAATATTTTGTCTCACGATTTTGATGCAGAATGGTGAAGAATCGATCCAGAAATCGTTTAAGGTACTCCGCTTGAGAATCCGATGAGAATTGGGGACGATATAGCCATTCCTGTGGGCCGTATAGGGGAAAACTACATTTTCAAGGGACCCCATCAAGAAAAATGGACAAAAAATTTGAAAAATATTTTGTCTCACGATTTTGATGCAGAATGGTAAAGAATCAATCCAGAAGTCGTTTAAGGTACTCCGCTTGAGAAT